TCGCGACATGTATGTGTACAGCCGACTCGTCGTCGTCGTCGGCGTCGTCATCATCGCACACGGCTAAGCCCGAGAAAAGGGTTACGAGGCGCGTATAACGCGTACATGCAAGGGGATGAGAAATATACTGAAAAGGGAACCTTTTAATTAAAGATCTTACGTGAATTTGTTTATTTGCGCTAAAAAAGAAGGCGAGCTCGCGTACATACAGACTCCGAGCTCGCACACAGAGATTTTCCTTTTCCAGGGGGACGCGCATTTTTTCGCGAATTATATTTCCATCGAATCTCGAGACACACGACGAGCTCACGTACATTATATATACATGTATAGCGGTATAAGCGAGCCGCGCGCGGTCTTACATCTGGTCCTCTGCCTCGCGCGCGCCTGGTAATTATTTTTTTTCCTACCCCTGTGTGACTCCTTGCTTCACGGCTCTGTACTCGTATCTCGTTTTCTCTCTCGCTCTCTCGCTTGGCATTAGCGTATAGTAGGTAATTAAAAAGCCTCGAGTAGGTAAATATCCGAGTGGCATACTACTGCCTCGACTCGTGGCAAAGAACGGAATAGGTCGTACTGGGCTAGAGCTCTGTACCGAGAGAAAGAGAGAAAGAAAATGGCAGTAGAAGCAGCACCTTATATATAAAAAAGCAGGATGGATGCTTGAAACCGGGCCTTGCTCAGCTCTATATTACTACTACTACTACTGCTGCTGCTGCACTACGCTATTTTTCGAGTTAATTTGAATTTCGTAATTACCCGAGGCAAGCGTACCCGCACACATGAACTCACACATACACACGTACGCAAAATATATATACGACTTCGTGCGTGTACCTCGGCAAAAAGAAATAACATAAGAGTCGAGTTTCTGTAGATGTTAGGAACACACATACACGCGCGCGCGAGCGAGCTAGTATCTGTACCTGCTGCGGTCCAGGAAAAAGCCGTTGTTCGTATACTCATAGCTGTGCCTATACTACTAGTTTTTAGCAGTACACGGACGCGACGAAAATATCTAGCTCTGAAACCTTAAATACTCTTGAGGACTTGACTTTACTCTCTTTTCCTAAAGGTAGGAGAGAGAGAAAGAGAGAGAGAGCCCGAGTACTTTTTATCACTGTCGCGACGCGAAATGATTTTACAAGCCTCTTCGTAAAACACATCTGTCATCTTGTCTTGACTAAAACACCGACATATTACAGACTTTTTGTACCCTCATAGAGCGTACCGCAAAGACCCGTAAAAGCTTCCTTTTCATTCATCTATGCTTAGTATTTTTTTTTTTCAGTTTTTCGTATTAATTTTGTATTTACAAAAGATCGTGTGGCATTCATTTCAAGTCCTCCTGTTTCAATGTTATGGTTAAAATACACGACAGAACATCGAATTTATCTTATGAGAGTTTCATTTTTATGTCGCTCCTATTAAGAAATTCTAAGTGTGTCTTACACTTTGATTACGTAATCAATCTCACGCTTTTAAAGAAGTCGAGGGCGTGAAAACTCTCTTCTACATAATTACACTGTATTTTTCACGACCCCCTTTAAGAACGATTGATATAAATGAGACTTGCTACTTGATTACAGTTTCGATGAGACAATTCAATTTCATAAAATGAAATAGAAAATTATTTTATGGTAAGATTACGGCCGTTATTTACCTCATACAAAATATTGCATGAATTTTTTATCTTCAGTGTCAGAAGTAGATATAATATTATTTATTCCGTTTTTTCTTTAATGAGGTGAAATAAAACGTCGCCTTGGTTTTTTTAACGCCTATCATTGCCAAGTTATTGCAATTATTATTAATATACAAAAGTATCAAATGAATAAAACCCATAATTCACCTGAGTAGAGAATTATTTTAACTATTTAAAAATAATTTAAAAATAAATATTAAATTGCTGATCTTCATTGATTTAATTCATATTAATTCATATGAAAATCAATCTAACTTTAAAGACAGTTAATGAGATCTATAAAAATGCACTCGTCATTAGTAGCGGCTCGAGATGAGTAACCTTATGCAGTGCGTACACGTATTTATTCTATGCGTGTATCAGAAAGTAATGCGTCATGGGCATGCGCAACATGGTCGCTATAACCAAGAAAAATAACGAGTGAAAGTATACCTATGATGCAAACGTAACTTCTATAGTCAAATCACATCAGTTTCCAATACACAGTGCACGTTACAACACTGCAGCGATACACCAGTTTCCAATAGACAGTGCACGTTACAACACTGCAGCGATACACCAGACTATAGCAAGTGATTTTTGTGTAACAAATTAATATTTTAAATTCCAAGCAATAATGTTTCTGTGTCAGTATTTTCTTAAAAATTTCCGAGGCGCGAGTGAAAGTAACAAAATTAACCATTATGTCGACCACGTGGCTCTGATTAATCAATCAAACTTGGTTGGATTGAAGGTTATGCGAGACACGATAAATTGGAAGAAAAAAAAAGAGCGAGTTAAACTTCTCTGGCGACTTCACGCCTTAATCGGAACGTGGGACAAACTTCCAGATCTCCGAGACATTTTTCGGAAGGAAGAAATGGATCATCTTCTCGCGGACTCCATTGATTACATTACAACAGGAGTTTGGAATAAGAGTGCCGGGGAAGCATTTTTGGAGTTCGTTATTAACACCGGCTACAAAGACGAGCCTGATATTGACGAAGACGGCAAGCCCATGCTGCGTCGCATCACAGCCGTGCATAGGGCTATCAAAGACGAGAACTACGACTACATCGACGTACTTTTTAAAATTTACAAACGATTCGACGTGAATTACACTGACGGTTCAGGATTCACACATTTTCATGCTGCTTGCATGTCTGGCTGCGAAGATGTCGTCATAAAATTCCTCGAGCTTGGCCAGGATCCCAATTGCCTTGAGGACAAAACTGGTAAATCTCCGCTACACTTGGCTCTGGAAAAGGGCGACAAATACATGGCCCAATTGCTGCTGAAACATGGTGCCGATCCGAATGTGGCTGACTCGCGTGGATCCACACCTCTACACATTATTTGCGACAGAGATGAAGATGCTGATTTCTTGACGAAACTATTCTTCAAGATCAACGATGAAAAACATCAGTGGGTACAAGTCGATGCCCGAGACATGTTTGGTATCACACCATTGCACTTGGCTCTGATATACAAAAGGAAAGGAATAGTCGAATTGCTGCTGAGGAGAGGCGCCAACCCAAATTTAGCCACCAAAACTAGATTGACACCTCTACATATTATTTGTAACAGAGACCTATATTTTGATGATGGCTTGTCCAAGCTATTCTTTTACATCAACGATAGCAGACGTCAGTCAGTGCAAGTCAATGCTCGGAACAACTTTGATCGGACACCACTTCAATTGGCCGTGGCGAATCTCTTGCCGTATGTGGTCGATGACCTCTTGAATCATGGGGCTGATTTGTCTAGCTTTGTTTTCCCCTCTGAAAGTTATTTTGCCGAAAATTTTGATCCAGAAATTAATCATTCCATCAACTTTAAATTGAGACTAGCGTCTGGTGCTCTGGCCACCGTCGAAAGTCTTGAGAATGGAGGATACAAGCTGGATCAAAGCGACGCCCTGACAATCATGAAATTTTTCGTTAAGTACGAATTGTTCGAGAAGTCAGACTATCATTACAAATTTTGGCGTAATGACGAATACTTCTTGAGCACAGCAAAAAAGTTAATGATACAAAAGGGCTTCTCGCTCTACGACCTGGTCCAGTTACGACCTGAAGAGGCAGCGAAAAAACTCACATATTCGGACTATTTAGAATTCGCGTACACGGCTGAATACTCGTATCTCTCCAAAGGGTCTCACCAGAAGTTTATTGAGCACTTGTGTGAAATGCTATCGAGAGGATTTTTCCGGCGGTGGGCATTTAAATGTTTCTTAGATATAACGAGCGAACGGCTGCCAAAAAAGTTCTGTGAAAAAGACATCGATCAGCTAATGAACAAAGATTTATATCATATTTGCTTAGCGGCTACAGGCAATAGTTGTTAATGACTTCTTAAATTTTGTAACTATTTCTTCAGATAGCGAAAAAAATTTAAGCAATACAAAATGGCTCAACATGAAAAAATTATGAATATAAACAAAATAAAATAAATATAAATTATAATTATAATTATAATAATTTCAGCTTTGTGTGGGTTAGAATAAGAACAGTAATAATTTTTGTTGTTGTGAACGTTTTAACAGCCCTCCAAAGTTCAAAGTCTTTTTCTTGAACAATAAGTGTTATTAGGCAATATGGCCAAAATTCGGCCGCGAGGTGACAGCAGCGTCGAAGGTCAAAATATGCGCACTGGCGTCCGCGCACCACCGACAAACACGCTTTCGATCTCGTCGCCATTGCCGATCGAAATTTGCACGGTATTTAAAATAATGGATCATATTTACGGAAATCTTAGTGTAATTGCTTTGAAACAATTATTGAGAGAGAGAGGACTCAGGACGACTGGGAGAAAATCAGAATTAATTGAAAGGTAAGTTATTTAATATGTTTAATATGCAATAACAATTAGGTTAGGGGGTTTTGTTATTGTTTTTGTTATTATCATTCAATGCAACATTTTCTATTATCTTCTGTACAAACTTTGTTTTCTTAGATTAATTCAATATGAGAACTTTCACCAACAAACAAGAGAAAGGATCCGATTTCGATCATAAATATGGAAGCCTTAAATTAAAACAATTACAACATTTATTGAGAGAAAGAGGGGCCCGGGTGACTGGACGAAAATCCGAGTTGGTTGAAAGGTAAACTTTATTTAGTATACAATAACAATTGGGTTGTTTTAATCATTAAATGAACTCTTCTTAGATTAATTTATTATGAAAAAAACAACAACTTCGACTATGAAAGGGCCGAAAAAGATGAAGTCATTGAAACTCCTCCCGCTCAAGAATATAGGGACATAAATTCTTCAACGTTACTGCCAGGATTTTCTAAACTTCATCTAGACATATTTTTAAAGAATTATAATGTACAAATGGAAAAAGCACAAAATTTGTACAATGAAGGGTTTCTGCAGTACATAAGGTGTTGTAAAAAAGGTAATACTATAGATTTCATATTAAACTTACAATTTTATACACACATATATGATTTGTATAATTATCACTTCCAGATGACCAGTATTTTATCAAATCTTCATGCAAAGCTGAGTTAAAAAAACATATGAAATATATATGTGACATAAAATTATTTGGCGATGGAGAGGTAGATTTAAGCATGTGTGACTGTCCTGTCGGTCAATCTACTAAGGCCCATTGTAAACATATTATTGTGACTTTGATTGCTCTTCTCAAATGGCGAGTTGACAAGTTTGCTATTTTAGAAGCCACTTGTACTGAAAAGTTGCAAACTTTTCATAAACCTACCAAAAAATATACTGGCTCCCCAGTTAAATCTAATGTTTTTCAAAAAAGGAAGCTGCCACCAAAAAAGAAGATTCTAAATTCAATTCTAAATCTGCAATTTACAGATGATTTTCAAGTTTCTTATTCAGATTATTTTAAAAATGTTATAACGTCATCAAGTTTCAATAATAACATGACTATCAAACAAATCCTGCAACCAGCCAATACATATGCTGTAGAGTGGGACCATGGGTTTTATTCTAAAGTGTCTAATGAATATAAAGTTTTAAAGTCATTAGGATTAGTTGATTTATCTGTAGAAGAAGCCACGAATATAGAGTTTAAAACAATTGACCAAAACAACAATGACACTTGGAAGCAAGAGAGGTGTATTAGACTGACTGCCAGTTTATTTCATTCCTGTTGTATGAAAGTAAACAATGAAGAGGGAGCAAGGTCACTTGTGAAAAAAATTATGAATGGCTATACGTTTACTAGCAAAGCCACAAATCATGGAATAATACATGAAGAATCAGCCATCCAAAAATTTCAAGAGCTCAATCATAATGCTCTTAACATCCAAAAATGTGGTTTGTTTGTCCCTGTAGAAAAACCATACATTGGAGCTACCCCAGATAGACTACTAGGTACAGAGACTATCGTTGAAGTCAAGTGTCCATATTCGATTAGATACACTGGGATACATGAAAAAGCAGTACCATACATTCAGAAAGATAAAAATGGATGTTTGCAACTAAAAGAAGATCATCCATACTATTATCAGGTACAGGGTCAACTTTATGCAACAAAAAGAAATTTTTGTGATTTTATAATTTATACATTTATAGATTTTAAGAGAATTACAGTATATAGAAATGAAAAATTCATTTCAGAAATGCTTGCAAAGCTAGATTTATTTTATGAAAATTATCTTAAGCCAGCTTTATTAGACAAATATCTTTATAAAAGTTATTATTCTATGTTTGAAAATTAATACTTATTCAGTATTATTAATTTTTAATTATCAAGTAAGATAAAGAAGTTTATACTGCACACTATAAATACTAAGAAAAAGTTTTTATATTTCATACCAAATGAATATGAAGAAAGTTTATATTTTTTTATACTATTAAGTGATAAGGATTAATAAAAAAAATTGCATGGCTTAAACTTGTATTGTTCTTAAATATGTTTAATGTTTTTTCAAAATTGTTTGTTAAAAATGTTTAATAAAAATCATTTTTACATGGAAATTGTATTTTTCTTATTATTTGTTAAACTCAACATTAATTATTTATTATGTGTAAGCTTACATAATATTATCTTTAAAATTAGCCAGCATGATACATACTCTGATTATTTCTGATGATAAAGGGAGAAGATCACGAGTGAGTTTCTTTGAAAGAATGGTATATGTTTTCATTAGTCCAATAATCCTCTCCACATGAACTCTATGCTTGGACAATTTTCTGTCTTTCACAATTACATTGTGCGACAAATTTCCACTGACCATTGGAGTAGGTGTGCACACAGTGACGTCGCATGGGGCAAACAAATCTTGTACCATGATTCCCTTATCCGCAAGTATCACATCACCTGCTTTACATTTCTGCCTCAAATCACTGCGTTCAATTATCTGACGATCACTAGTAGAACCACCATAAGGCTCAGAAATATAAGATATTAAGCCACCTGGGCTAGTCCCTACCATAACTTTCAACGTATTACTATTTTTATATGTACTAAAAGTAGCTTGTTTTAATTTAGGATTGTTGGGAGCATCTATCTTCAATTCTGTGGCATCTAGTGTCACTCTGGTTTTAGGATAATTATTTTTGAAAACATGAGGCATATAAAAATTCACTAATTCTCTACTTGGCCATATGTCTATAAGGGACCACAATTTAGCCATAGAAATTATCCACACATGAAATATTTCACTGACACAAGTTTCACTGATATTGAAGTGTTCAGCTAACTCTAAATTACAGGCATCTCTTCTCAATTTCCACAAAACTAAAAATAACTGATTGTTCACTGTAATATTTTTTGATTTTTCTAATTTCTCAAAGTGATTTCTAAGTGGTTTTAATGTTTGCAAAACAACCATATACTTTTCATATGTCAATCCTGTAAAGTGTTGCAATTGTCTAGGTTTGTCTTTGTAATCTTCAATGTTGTATTTTGCACATCCAATAGTTTGAACAGCGACTACTTTATTTTCTTTGTGAAAATTATTTTTGGTCACTTGTTCACTTATTAAATTATTTTTATGCACTGGTTCAGGTGAGACGTATAGTTCTTCATACACATCAAAGCCTTGTTGTTGAGCTGATGCAATACTGCACTCAAATTCATTTATATTGTGTGAGTGTACAGGTGAATCTGTGCAATCCATATTGAACTCGTTTGTACCAGATGATTCATTGACCTGCAGAAAGAAAAAATGTTTAATATGTGTAATACAGTACATAAAAACTTCAATAAACCATACCTTATCATTTATGTCACTGTTATTAATTGAGTGAGGATTGCTGATACTTTGTACTTCTGTCACCTGCAAAACAATAAACAAATTCAATATTTATACTGAATAAATATATGCAATTTTTATGCTAAAAAGTGATAAAAAATAACATACTGTCGATGAGGGTGCTTCTTCTTTTTTTCTTTCTATTTCAGAAAAGATGGTTGGAATGCAATTAGTTTTTAATTTGACACGACTCATTTCATATCCTCCTATAAAATAAAATAGGCAGTTAATTATCTTTCCAATGAAATAAGAAAAACTTCAAGAATATGAACAAATTAGTAAAAAGTTATCAATATTACTTACCTATGACACTTTCTGTGTAAATATCAGTTGGTTGAAAATGTTTGGTGCACAAACCATGACACGACTTTGGATTATAGTTCGGTCTTTCAATTGCTTCCAACCATCGTTTCCTTAATTCAGGGTCTTTTGGGAATTTAAATTTTTTTTTCCCCTTACAATTTTTGACACTACAATTCATTATTTTTATTTACTTTTGATTTATTTTTAGTATTCAGAACAAACTGTCAAAGGGTCGCGAAGAAAAATATCTACTGCTATCGAGATTATCCGGTCACAAAAATCATGCATCTGCGCATGACTTGACCTACGACGCTGCTGTCATCTCGCGGCCGAATTTTGGCCATATTGCCTAATAATCGAAATGAATAAAAAAATTGAATTTATTAATTTGCTGTAATATACATTTTTTGTCTTGATTTCAAAAATGAATTTTTTCCCTTCATTCTGTCGTTTAATTCTCTAAAAAAATAGAAACAAAAGAATCACTAAAATGATACTTAGTGAATTCGAGGTGTTAACGAGAGGAATTAAAAATGATGATCTGACAGCATGATTGGCAGGGTCAGCAAGAGACGGGTAAATGGTGTACGTCAGAAAATTGAGTGTCGAAAGATCCCGAAGCACCTTATAAAGTTGCGTCCCTTCCATACAAAAAAAGTTCATCTTTAATTTCTTGTCGTTTTTTCAGCTACTCTTCGACACTTCTTTAAATTCAAGTGCTCGAGCTCTTCTTCCCTCGCTTGTCGCCGTCGTCTTTCGTCCCCATGGCCAAGGATGTTTCTCTCATTTCTTTGCTTGTCTTGGGTCGATTAACCAGACTCTCGTAGACTTCGTTATTTTCGGCTCTTTTATTCTTACCCACCGTCGACTTGGTTTTTTTCTCTTTACACGTTTACATGGCCTACTCCTCTTCCTCCACCACTGCTGCTCTTGCTCCGCCTGTCTTGCTTTTCTGCATTCTTTTTCTCTTCGCAAAGTATAAGCTTCTTTTATCTTTCAGTTTTCCACGGCTTTCTTCGCCTTTAGCCCAGTCACATCCTTAATATCGTTTTTAAAGATTTTTTTAAGCGCCATTAAGGAAACTATATTGCTACTCTCTTGCGCAAGGTGCAAAGTAGAAAGAGACAAGAAACGCTGAGGAGTGTGAGATGGAGGGAGAGAGAGAGAGGAGGACTATGAGCTCTTAAGGGTTCATTCGTGATAGCGGGCTGAAATATCTTTAAGCGCGGGGGTGTGGACGGGTAAGGGAATATGAATCTGAAGCTTTGGACACACGCGCACTTTTGCATCTCGCTCAAATTGCTCGAATAAATTTTCTTGCTTGTAATCGTCATTCTTCGAGCTCCTACTGTAACGACTCCTTTTTAGGATCGAATTTTTAAATGACAGGCTCTTGAATTTTTTATCAAGCACAATTCACACTGAATAATAGTACATCGGATGCACATCAATATTTCATCGATTTATTCATGCTTTTTCGTTAGTCGCCTGGCGTTTAAGTTAACGAAAATCTCTAACTTTCAAAAACCATTAAATTTTTGAATCTGGAAAAACTTTGTTACGAGATGGGGTAAGAATGTAAAAGTCGCGAAAGTGTTATTTCAGAAAATGAAAGTTAAACCGTCAGTTTCATATCAATCTCACTTTCCAGTTTTTAAAGTAACTTTGTTGGAATATCTTTACAGAAAACAAAATAAAGTTTTAATTGCATCACTCAACTTTCGAGTATGGTTATCTTGAGTTTGTCAGAGTCTACTTGTCCGTATGAATTGTAACAGATTCTCCCGCAGAACAAGCAAGCCCTTGAGTTTTTTATTATTTCACGGATGACTAGAAAATTCTAGCGACTTATCCAGTTTTGTCGAATTTAAAATTCTCGCGATATCTACCGAGTCGGTGGCTCGTTCTTTATTTTCGGAAAAAAGTACCTCAGAAGATTACAGAAAATTGATAGAATTTTGAGATAACGCATAATGTAATGTATCGTGTTGGGATAATGGAAGCTGAGCGTGGTGTGCCTTCGCAATTAGACTTTTTAATTTTTATTAGTGCGAGCTAGAGCAAGGCGACCACCGCCTCTACCTCTGTCTAAACGTATGCATAATGCCATGAATATTTTCGTCGTAACTCTGCCAACTTGTCTCCTAAGGAATTAACCCTTAAATTAGCAGCTAGCTCAGAAACGTGCAAAGTCGCCTAAGTTTGAGCCTTGGCTTTTTCTACCCACCTCCCTCCCCTCTGCCATCTCCACCTCGACCCCCCCGCAACAACAGCAGCGTCGTCGTTCTTTCTCACCCTCTTTTGCTTTCTGTTGTTTCCAACACTTTGATGGTCTCGCCTAGAAACTCGGTTTCTCTCTTGTTTATTTTTCTACGCAAAACAAAAACTTTCATTAAGATGAACGACCAACATATTATTTTCATCGAGATATACTGCGACGCTAGCCAAACTTCTTGTTTGGAGCTCTGAACGATAGAGATTTCAATGCCATAGCAGATCAATTTTACCGATGAGCTACAGATCTTAACACTACCCTCTGACTGGTTCCAATCGTTGTAATTTAGACTGAAATTCGAAGTCAATGTCATAATTTTCGTATTAAAAGAATTTTTGAATATATGTTATTAAAAAGACATTCAAGCCTGTTTTTCCAATATAATTAAATCTACTTGAATAAAGTACTGAAAACTGTTTGCTTCTACTTCTAATAAGATAATTCTTCTAATCATCTATTTTAACATATCGAGTACCATTTAAATGTTGCCATGGTATCCCATTATTTTTTCAACAGCAAAAAACTAAAGAGCATAAGAAATGGAGTGTTCATGGCTTGAAGTCAAAGTGAAAATACTACTAGGCGCTATAAAGAGTTCTCGAGTAAGAAGAAATATGACGCGAGTCGGCCATTTCCGGAGACGCGTCGTCGACCAGTGGAACTTATTAGTCGTGCTCTCCTTCTCTTTCTCTCTGCAGCTCGCTCCGAGGAAGCTCGCAGCGAAGCTTGCCCGGGTTTATTTAAGCTCGGCCTTTTCTAAGTGCGCATACTAAATATGATAATATTGCAACGACAAAAAACGTCAGAAAATGGTATTTAGCCTGAGCTAATTAAGAAATCGTGACTCGTTTGCGAACGGTTACCATTTCACGGCTCTTTACTGCCGGCTATGGCCATTTCTACGTTTGTCTAGCTTTGCATTTTGCTCTCGCGCGCGCACTTATATTAGTATTTTCTTCAACTACTTATGCATTTCCTCAATTTTA